CTGCCCACGGACCGGCAGCGGGGCCCAGCGTCCCGGGGGGCGGCGGGGGTTCAGCGGCAGCCCCCAGGGAGCCCCCACACACCTGCCCCACAAATCCCCGCCAAACCCCCAAAGGGACGTTTCATGGACTCACAGAGACGCCCCTTGTGTTACTGATTTTATTATCAATTGAAATTAAATTGTTTGATTTTAATATAAATATAGAATTAAGGGATATTTTAGTAAAAATAATTTTACATTTATTGTATTTTGAATCTAGCAACCGACTGCTACTCTAAAATCCCCTGTACAGCCCTGTACCAAGGCTGAAGGGACTGGTCATAATTGTTTAGTAGGAACAGTCAGAACCTGGGTAACAAAACATGAGGTGATTTGTAAACTGATTTATAATACATACATAGGACTAGAAGAATGCAAGTAGTTGTCAAGGTCCAAGATTAATGGGAACTGAGGGCAGTAACCGTAACAGCTTGCAGGTACCTGCCAAGAAAACCGTGTCCTTGAGCAAAAGGTAATTCCGGCAGGGGGAGATCGCAACCACCGACTCATGGACCACCTACTCCCATTACACCCCAGACCCATATCTAGATATTTCTAAACTTTACTGTGCAGAATTGGATGTAGGAGGAGAATATGTTCATGATTTCTCATAAGTTGTATGCTTATGTATGAAGACTTACTGAATATGTATGAGTTCTATATAAGATGTATGATTCTGGTGCCTGGCACGTGTTGTGGGTGAGAGCACTCCCCTACACGTCCGTCCGTCAATAAAGAAGTGTCTGCTTATCTGCATCAAAATGGTGTCGATAAGTTATTTTTATCCCGGATTTCGGTGACAGTTTCTGGCACCCCAGATGGGACCTCACTGAGAGAGACCGGAGGAGTTGGGGACCTGATCGGTTCCAGCCGGCACCAAGGATTTCTCGGGGATACCCATCAAACCCCCATCCGTAAGTCTCTTTGCGATGTCCCCTGGATTTTGGTAAGACACTTCTCCTTTGTATTGGTTTTGTATTGGTTTTGCATTCATTTTGGAAAAGTGGGTTAGAGTCCCACTGTACAAGCCTGCCTGTCAGACGCGGCGAAAGCTGCGCAGGGTTGGGCTAGAGGATCCTCGTGTATCGGAAGCCTAGGCGTCTGCCTGTAAGACGTAAGAGAAAGCTATTGCAGGGTTGGACATTTGGATTTGGAAACAAGAGAACCTATATGCTATAGAGTTCTCAAAGGTAGTGCCTCTAACAAAAAGTTAGAAGGTTTTTTTATACACTCTAGTGTGGGATTGGTTGTTTCGTCGGTTTAATTTTGTGTAGTAATTAGAAACTGTGTTGTATTGTGTTATATACCTGTATTTGTCGTAATAATTGCGGAAAGGTGTGAGTGTGTTTGTAAGCGTGAGACGTGCAATTGAGCATGAAGTGAGTGTGGAGTTTGGATCCGCGGTTCTGTTATCCTGCAAGGGGTGCCACCGGAGAAGAACAAAGCAATACACTTGAGCGAGTGATTGATTGTATATTGTGTTAACAAAGTAACTGAACCATGGCATCTAAGCTGACTCATTTTTTTAGAAGTAAAACTATGTGTAATCTGGCTGCAAATGACAAAATTCTGAAAACTTCTCTGTTAGGATGTTTGTTAGCACATTGGGAAGAATTGCATGATGATTTGCGAAAGAGTCAGATGACTGAATATTGTAATCACTGGTGGCCTCTGTATACTTTGGATGATCATGGAAAATGGCCCATGAATGGGTCACTGAATTATTTTGAAGTTAATGCTGTTCTGTAGAAGAGAAGGGAAATGAAGTGCCATATGTTGATTTATTTTTCCTATTTAAGACAAAGGAAGGATTAGAAGAAGGAATGTAAGTTGATTAGTAGGGATAATTTAGTAATGGCTATAACTTCTGATGATTAAAAAGGTGAAAAAGTGTTGTTCAACATGTGAACTTGAAAAGATTGTTGAAAGGAAAGAATTGCTTCTACTGAAAAGGATGAAGGGCCGAAATTAGATATATACCCTCCGCAGAGAGAACGGCATCGGGGGCGAGAATATAGAGAACAGGTAGAGGAACCTAAGAGTAATAGAATAGAGGATGTGGATGAAGGGTCATCTGATGTTGTAATTCATACCCCTGTATCTCTAAAGAACTCGGCAGCAGGTACAAACAATAGCTTTCCTTTGGCAGGGAGTTGGCAATGATGGGCCGGTGTATGTGAAAGTTCCTTTTTCAGTGACGGATTTGATGGCTTAGAAGCAGGCAGCAGGAGTGTATAGAGAGGATACTGAGAGAACAGGCAGAGTAGTAGGTACTATAATCAAAACACAGAATCTGGATTGGAGTGATTTACAGGTGATTTTAGCTAATTTGTTAGATGATACAGAAAACCAGATGGTATTAAAGGCTAGCAAAGCACAGGCAGAAGTGACTCTATTGAGTGGGACAGCAGGTAGAATATTAGAGCAGAATTTTTTGTCTGGGGATCCGCAGTGGGGATCCAAATAATGTGGAACACAGAAAAAGACTGAGTCAGTATCAGAAATGGATTTTATATGGAGCTGAACATGCTATGCCTAAGTTTCTGAACTGGTCTAAATTATATGAGGTGAGAAAAGATAAGAATGTATCTCCCTCAGCAATTCTGGAAAGACTAAAAGAAGCTGCTAGAAAAAAAAAAATGATTTGAGAGTAGAAACTAAGGCAGCTCAGATATAATTGGCTTTGATTTTTATAAGACAATTGGTACCAGATATAAGAAAGAAACTGATTGATAAATTTTTGACGTATAAAATGTTGGAGGAGTGTGAATCTAAATATAAAACTCTCATTCTACCAGTCAGAAAACCATCGGGTAAATATAGGTTAGTGCAAGACTTCAGAGCAGTGAATCAAATAGTTAAGGGTATATATCCTGTAGCAGCAAATCCTTACATGATGTTAACAGCTTTAAAGGAGACTTATCAGTGGTTTACAGTGCTTGATTTAAAAGATGCTTTTTTTTTTTTTGTATACCTTGGAGAAGGAAAACAGAAAATTGTTTGCTTTTGAGTGGGAAAATCCACAAACAGGACAAAGATGCAGCTGACATGGACAAGACTACCCCAAGGATTTAAGAATAGCCCAATAATTTTTGGAAAACAGCTGGCAGAGAAGCTTGAAACACAGAAACGGGACAAACCAAAACCTGGACATTTCCTTTTACAATATGTGGATGACACACTGATTGCTACAGAAGAAAGATTTACCTACATACAGGTAACAATAGATCTTTTTAATTTTCTGGCACTGAATGGGTACAAGGTAGCCAAGAGAGAGGGGGGGGAAAAAAAAAAAAAAAAAAAAAAGCATGTCAGACTGTGATATATTTGGACTTTAAGATTTCAAAAGGGCAGCGGCAATTAGGAACAGAACACTGAGAAGCCATGTAAGCCAAAAAATATTCATGAACTCTGAGTATTCTTAGGAATGACAGCGTGGTGCTACCTCTGGATCATGAATTATGGTCTAACAGCTAAACTGCTATATGAGGCCCAAAGAACTTCTTTGACATGGGGCCCACAGCAACAACGGGCTGTCACAGATTGAAATGCTTTAATGTCTGCACCTGCCTTAGGACTTCTGGACATAACCAAAGACTTTCAGCTGTTTTTTCACGAAAGACAACGCCTGGCACTAGGTGTGCAGACTCAGAAGATGGGAAGCTGCAAATGACCTGTCGGATACTTTTCTAAACAACTGGACACAGTGAGTAAAGGGTGGCCAAAGTGCCTTCGAGCTGCGGCTGCAACAGTAATGCTCATGCAGGATACTCAGAAATTAACTTTGGGAAGCACAATAACAGTCTATGCCCCAGAGATGGTGATAACTGTTTTAGAACAGAAGGGGGGACATTGGCTATCTCTGAGCTGAATGATGAAGTACCAGGTAGTACTGGCTGAACAAGATGATGTGATTCTAAAAACAACTAACCTGGTAAATCCTGCAGTGTTTTTAAGTTCCACACAGGAAGAAGAGCAACTGGAGCAGGACTGCTTGGCTACTATCGAGTATGTTTATTCCAGTTGAGAAGATTTGAAGGATGTACCATTGGAGCAACCAGACTGGGAATTGTGTACAGATAGTAGCAGCTACTATCTGTATACTCCTACTCAGTAGGAGCAAGGAGTTTGATATGCTGGATATGCGGTAACAACAGACACTACAGATATAGAAGCAAAGGCACTGACGAGTACTACATCAGCTTAGCAATCAGAACTCATTACTTTGATTCAAACCTTAGAACTAAGTGAAACGAAGAAAGTAAATATTTGGACAGACTCAAAGTATGCTTTTGGGGTGGTACATGTCCATGGAGCTTTGTGGAAAGAAAAAGGATTATTGTCCTCTCAGGGATCAAATGTTAAGCATCAAAATTAAATTATACAGTTATTACAAGCAGCTCAAAAAAACCAAATCGGGTAGCAATCATGCACTGTAAATCACACCAAATTAGAAATACAAAAAATTTATTGGAAACAATTTGGCTGTCTGAACAGCAAGAAAAATAGCAGAGGAACAAGCATTCCAAATGGAATTAATTCCCTCCAAAACAGTAACTCTTCCGAGGGAAAGGCCAAAATATTCTATAGAAGATGAAAAATTAGGTCAATTTTTGAATACTAAGAAAAATTTAGCGGGATGGTGGATAACTCCTCATGGACGAGTAGTAGTTCCACCTTTATTAATGAGAGAAATAATGCAGACCAAACATCAAGGATGTCATTGGAGAGCAGAAGCTTTAGTAACTTCTTTAGAAAAACAAGTTATATCTGTCAAGATGATAGACATGGCTGAATTAATAACTGCAAAATGTGAAGTATGTTTGAAAAACAATCCAGTAAAAGAGTTCAGATGGGTAGATTAAATCTGGTACAGAGCCTGGAAATTATTAGCAAGTAGATTTTTCAGAATTACGTAGACAAAATGGGTACCGATACATTCTGGTGGGGGTTGATACTTTTACAGCATGGCCAGAAGCTTTTCCCTGTCGCACCACACAAGCCAATGAAGTAGTGAAGTGATAAATGAGAAAAATAATTCCAAGATTTGGAGTTCCTATTGGAATTTTGTCTGACAGAGGTCCACACTTTGTTGCAAAAATAGTTCAAAATGTTAGCAAAATTCTGGGTATCACTTGGGATTTGCATACTCCATGGAGGCCACAATCCAGTGGAAAAGTAAAAAGAATGAACCAGACTTCTAAAAGGCAAATAAGTAAGATCTGTCAAGAGACCAATTTAAAATGGCTTCAAGCATTTCCATTGGCATTATTACAAATCAGAGTACAACCAAAGAGTGGAATCTCAGTCAGTCCTTATGAATTATTGTATGGGAAACCTTATGAGTCCCCAGAACCAAATCCAAACATGCATGTAAAAGGAAAACAGGATGTGTATAATTATTTGCTTTCTTTAGGAAAAAACATTGACTGCGATTCGGAGTGCAGTGGTGTGGAATAGACCATTATCCCTGGAAACTCCAGTGTGTGACTTTCAACCAGGAGATTATGTCTATGTGAAAATGTGGACTTCTAAACCTTTCCAGATACTGTTAACCACCTTCACAGCCATCAAGATTGCAGAATCAGATGCTTGGATACACTATACCTGAGTGAAGAAACCACCTACTCCATGGAAAATCATAAGCCGTGACCCAAAGACTTTGACTTTGAAACATGTCTAATATTTCATATCAGTTTGTGATTGTTCTCTTTATATTGGCTTAGAAGGTGATGCTGGTGGAATCATGAGTTGATCTGGTGGCAAGGAACAAAAGGCAAACAGATGTAGAGCAATTAATCTGTATTCCCAAGGAAATGCCTGAAGAAAATTTGATGTTAGGATTGATTAAAGGATTTGCCAATTTACAAAATGTAACCCAGATGACAGCTTGTTTACCAATTCCAATAGCAGTAGGTAAATCTATTCCTTGGGGAATCTTAACTATGAATTTGACCAATTTGGAACATGAAAATGAGACTTTATTGCAAACAAAGGTCAGTGATTCAATGGTATAAACAAGTGAAGGTTATTAAGAAACAATGGAAATAACTAGGAAAAAAAAAATCAGACTGTAAGAAACTACTAAATTATTACTTTATAACAGGGTCTTAACCTAGTGCTTTGGATCGAGTTCTCCTCCCAGGAGGCCCAAGCCCTAATGTAGGATGGTGTTCATATGATGAACAAATTAAAAACAATGTGAGCAGGAGCATCATGGAATGGCAGTGTAACAAACCTGGGCAAAGTACCCAAAACCAGGCAAGGTGCGAGTCAATATGGTCTATGTCCATATTCTTACAATTTCAGTACATGGCCAGAACCCCTTGGTGTTTTACTTGGAACAGTACCTGGATTAATAGAGTGTTTGCAATCCTTCCCTTGATAGTAGATAAAGGCACTACCTGACAAGAAAAGGAACATGTAGTACCATGGTAGAAATGTGAAAAGGTGTATGATTGCAGCAATGCAGACAATAATTCAAAGAATTCCTCATTTGGCAGCTGCTTTAAAGTTTGGTTGTTATTGTTGGGGTTTTCATAACAACTCACCATGACTAGTATCTTTACATCCAGAAGAGGATACTTTTTTTAGTTGTAAGAAATCTACCATCCACAGTCCAGGGCATTTAGTTTGGGCATTAAGTGATGACACCTGGACAACCCACTTACAAGTAGATAGTAAGGTGAAACAAATTACTTTAGGCCAGCCAACATTGTGTCCAATTTGGAAGAAAACACCATTCAAGGGATCCCTGGAAAACTTAAAGTTACAACGAATCAAAAGGTCTGAAACAGAAAATGACACTTGGAATGAACCATCAACAGGAGTAAAAATTGGCTGGGCTTTAGAGTCTCTTTTGAGCCCAATAGCGTCCTATAAAAATAGAGAATGGCTTTATCACTTAACAGGACAAGTAGAAAAATTGGCCAATGTTACAAGAAAAGGATTTAAAGAATTAAACATACAGTTACAGGCAACTTCGAGAATGACACTTCAAAACAGGATGACACTAGACATGCTTCTGTTAAAAGAGCATGGAGTGTGTGGATATCTCAAAGATAGATTAGATCATTGCTGCATTCATATCCCGAATGTTACACAGGATGTAGAACATGACTTAGATCTGTTAAGCAAAATCAGAAAAGAAACAGAAACAATTCGAGAAAATATGTCAAAGGATTAACTAGGAAAATTTTTAGTAGATTAGGATGGAATTTGAGCTATTGGCTGAAATCCTTAATCAAAATTCTATTTTTGCTATTAATTGTCCTTTTGCTGATTATATTGGTAACATACAGTTTACTAACAGGCTTGCAATATATCATAGAATTATAAGAGAAGTACCCACTATGCCACCAGACTCCAGCCACCACCACCATCATCTGGCAAGACAAAATTTGACTTCAAAGATAAAAATGAATAAAAGTGTGAAAATATTGAAATTATTTTCAACACTTTCAAAGGGGGGTAATGTTACTGATTTTATTATCAACTGAAATTAAATTGTTTGATTTTAATATAAATATAGAATTAAGGGATATTTTAGTAAAAATAATTTTACATTTATTGTATTTTGAATCTAGCAACCGACTGCTACTCTAAAATCCCCTGTACAGCCCTGTACCAAGGCTGAAGGGACTGGTCATAATTGCTTAGTAGGAACGGTTAGAACCTAGGTAACAAAACATGAGGTGATTTGTAAACTGATTTATAATACACAGGACTAGAAGAATGCAAGTAGTTGTCAAGGTCCAAGATTAATGGGAACTGAGGGCAGTAACCGTAACAGCTTGCAAGTACCTGCCAAGAAAACTGTGTCTTTGAGCAAAAGGTAATTCCGGCAGGGAAATTACCCCTGACTCATGGACCACCTACTCCCATTACACCCCAGACCCATTTCTAGACATTTCTAAACTTTACTGCACAGAATTGGAAGTAGGAGAAGAATATGTCAATGATTTCTTAGAAATTGTGTGCTTATGTATGAAGACTTAATGAATATGTATGAGTAAGTTCTATATAAGATGTATAACTGGTGCCTGGCACGTGTTGTTGGTGAGAGCACTCCCCTACACGTCCGGCCGTCAACAAAGAAGTGTCTGCTTATCTGCATCAAATTGGTGTCAATAAGTTATTTTTATCCCGGATTTCGGTGGCACTTGGAAGCGCTGATGAGCTGTTGTACATTTAGAAGCAAAAGCAGAACGTAACTATAATTAGCAAAACCATGCTGCGTACTCTAAACAAACTCACTTCCTTTCTAGCCTCGCTTAATTACATATTCCTGAAATGGGCGTATTTCCTCTAAAAAGTTTCCGCGTGGCCCCAGGTTGCACAGGGGCAGTTGGGCTTCTCGAATCCTCTCAGATCTTTTGGTGTGGTCTGGTCAGGGGATTCAATACAGGGATTTTCCCAGAAACATCCCCCTCTCCCTTTGCCCAGTGCAGCAACAGTTCTTGTCACATCCATTGCAGAATGCTTTCCCATGTGCCCACGATAGAGATCACTCTTATTTCAGAGCATGAATCACCACTGCATCCGTCACGGAACTGAGGCTGGGAGCATAGACCCAGCTTTTGGTTGTTGGCCCAGACTTTGGGCACAGCTACCTGTGTGTCAGCCAACAGCAGTTTCAGATTGGGCCATTGAGATCAAATTCAGCTGGGCTTTCTGTGTGATGCTAGGTCATGAGCAAAGCCTGGGCATTCCCCTGGAGGAGCCTGCATTGCTATTTTAAATGGCAGAAGGATGCTTCTGTGTACAAGTTTCCTTGCAGTCCATTTTCAGTACTCAGGGATAGGATCTTGAATGACTTCTTACTGGAATAACTCTCGGTGGGTGTCAGGAGCGACAAACGCATTTCTCCCTGTATTCACAACTCAAGGTCAGTGAAGGAGACGCTGCAGTCCAGCCTGTTTGAAGCTCAGCAGCACTTCTCAGCTGGAGATCACCAGCAGTCAGCTTGAAATCCAACTTCACGCTGTCACGTAGGCCAAGGAGGTGACACAAGGTGAGAGCCTCCTGTTTCTGGTGATCCCCTGCCTAGGGAAGGTGGTATAAAAATAGCTCTGCGTCTGCAGTGCTTCTGAGGAGCGAAGGAGATGGAGGCAGATCTCTCCTGCAATGAAGTTCAGGTGGCTCAAGGTCAGGGAAATCAGAAACATTGTTTGTCTAGACTCTGAATCTTGCTGTTTGTCCTGTTTGCAGGGGAAGTGAAGTGCCTTCAGTGTGAACTGGAAGCAGAGCGATCTCTAATGAGGCAGGAATCGGAAAACGTGGCACAGCAGCTCTTGCAGACGCAGCAGCAGTATAACAGTTCCCTCAAACTGTGGCAAACTGAGCATGAAGTGGAAATAAACAAGCTCCTGCAAGACCTGGTAGGAAACTATAT